CACACAGTCACCTCAGTCTCTGTACAGAGGAGCTTACACTCTAATGTCCCCTCCCCCCACAGTCACATCAGTCTCTGTACAGAGGAGCTTACACTCTAATGTCCCCTCCCCCCACAGTCACATCAGTCTCTGTACAGAGGAGCTTACACTCTAATGTCCCCTCCCCCCACAGTCACACACTATGATTATACATTGATATAGCGCTGACACAGCCCATCATATATCCTGCACAGCCCACATGAGACTCTCAGGTGGGCTCTGCGGAATCTGTGGTGGGCTCTGCAGGGTCCCTTTCCCTGCATTTATGCGCTCCCCTTACCTGCAGCTCCCCAGCCTGCCTCCAGGACATCCGCCAGCCCCGAGCCGCCCCCTGCCGGGCCCCGGCCGGCCTCCTCCACCTCGGAAGCCGGGCCCCAGCCCTACCTCCTCCTCCAGCGGGAGCTCTATGATCTATGTGGGTCTCCGGGCCACTGGGGCTGCCTGATTCTGCGCTGCACGGCTCACCTCGCTGTTTTGGGGGCGGTATTTTTTGTCGACCCCCCCCTGGAAAGTGCCGCCCAAGGCAAATGCATTGATAGGCCCCTGCCTCCCAGCTCTATAACAGAAAAGGAATTAACTACTATGTGCCCCTTTGTTATGTATCAACCTCACGCCGGGTATCCATTTGCACATTTCCTTTTAATCACTCAATGCTCAGACCGAGGACAGCAGCAGTTCAATGACATCACACGGCCAGTGATGACATCACACGGCCAGAAAGTCCTGTACTCTAACCTATGCTGTCTCTGCTCTCACCTCTGTTTGAGGGGGGTGGGGGGGAGTGCACATAGACGCACTCACATGATTCAGTTTAATAAATATATAATCTTGGACATCAATAAAAGGGGATTTGTCGCCCCTCCTCTGTGTGCACATTGAAGACACAACCCGTCTGTTGACCATTGTCTCCTCTCTGCGCAGGGTTCAGTCTCATCCATCTGATTGCCACCGGGGTCTCTTGTTTCTTCGGCTCCAGCCTGCTGACGTTTGTGATCTACGTCTATTGCCAGCGCTGCCAGAGACAGTCCCAGGAGTCCACCGTCATCCACCCGGCTACACCCAACCACCTCCAATACAAGGGCAACTCCACGCCCAAGAACGAGAAATACACTCCTATGGAGTTCAAGGTAAAAGGGCGTTCAAGGCGGGTCCAGGGAGGGGGCGTGCATGAGTGGGAGGGCGGTGCATGGTTGGGAGGGCGGTGCATGGTTGGGAGGGCGGTGCATGGTTGGGAGGATGCAGTGAAAAACTGGGGAAGCGATCCCAGTCACATCCCAAAAGTATCATAAAGGCTTCTCATTCGCTCATACATCTCATTTACATATATTCAATTGTTTCATCCTTTGGCTCTAGGTGACCAGGACTAAATGCAAAAAAAATACCTTTTCTGATTTTCGGAGGCTGCTGTGGGCTGCACTGTGTGTGGCCGGCAGTTATAGTGAGGTTAGGACAATGCTATTGGTCATGTTCTATAATGCATAGGGGCCCTGATTCATCCAGCTGCAGAATCACTTAAAGGAGAACTATGTGGTCAGGGCTTTTCCCCATAGTTCTCCTTATTACAATTATGTCTGGATCCGCCCAGCTCCGTGACTGACAGCTGGCTCTGCCTATCTAGAGGCAGAGCCAGCTGTACCCTCCCCCGTCCGTTCCACCAGTCAGCGCTGGAGGATCGGAGCGGGGAGGGGGGAATCCAGCCCCTCCCCTGTCACGGCAGAGAGCCGTGACAGGATCGAGAGGTGAGCGAACGCCGGTATGTGTTCGCTCACCTCCCGATCTACTGAGCCGACCTGTGACAGTCTCATTGTCACAGGTCGGCTAGAACTATGAGGGGAGTGAAAAGCACCCCCCCCCTCATAGTTCTCCTTTAAGGCATGCGAAAGCGGTCTCTCAGCTGAGTATTGGCATGCCTTAAGTGCTTTTTAAAACACTTTGATATAGAAGCTTGATAGATCAGAGCCAGGGATGAAGGATTCTACCGAGCATGTTATATATGGGGGATGGGGGATCATTTCCCGATCTCCTCCGCGCCACAATCCTCCTGGGTGAATGGGCAGTAACTATCCTCACCATCGAGCGCCGTCCGCTCCGCTTTTTTCTCAGGTTAGCTGACAAGAATTAATGTTCGGTTTTTCCTCACCTGCCACAGAGATAAATCAGCCCGGCCACTTCCTGTTAGGCGTATCGATCCGAGTCCTTTGATTTATTTTTTATATAGTCTCCTTGTTTAAGAAGCTGTTTTGGATACATGGAGCGGCTCGGAGGGCGTTACGCGGCGTTTGCTGTTAATTCCTGAAGAGGCGGCCGGGGTCCTCCATCCGTTCTAACCTGCCGATGCCCCGGAGGGCTCGCTGACCGCCACAGAGTGCACAGTGCAGGGAAAAGATGCTTTGTTGCCATTTCTCAAAACTATTTACTTGTAGCGGATCTCTTACACATGGATACAATCTCCTAACTCAGCTCTTCCCCGGCCCCGGTGAGCAATGACGGCGCCGATGTACCAGAAATACACGGATGTCACCAGCACGCCAATAGTGTTGAAATCCAAAGTGTTAGTTTATTGGAACATCATGTCACCAGAACCAGCGCTTTCCTTTCGGGGCCACCCAGGGTCCCCTTCAAGGGGGCGGGAACAGCTGGCTCTGCCTCTAGATAGGCAGAGCCGGCTGTCAGTCACGCAGCTGCGTGGATACAGACATAATTGTCGGGATCCGCTCCGGCTGCTGCGTCTCAGTATACCGCGAGCTACAGCTCCCTATATACTGAGCCTAGGGTGACGGGAGGACGCTAGTTTGTGTCCTCCAGTCACCCTAAGGAGAACTATGGGGAAAAGACTTAACCCCCATAGTTCTCCTTTAAGGGGACCCTGCGTGGCCTCGAAAGCGCTGGTTCTGGTGACATGACGTTCCAATAAACCAACACTTTGGACTTCAACACTATCGGTGTGCTGATGTACCAGGGGGGGGAACTGATAAGGATCAGCGTGATCTGTGCTATTCGTTGTGTCACATTTCTAGACGGGTTCTCAGTGGGATTTTGGGGATCGAAGGAAAAGAAAGTGGGAAAAAAATCGCCACAAATTTGCAAAAATATTAAAATGATCGAAAATGAGGAAACCCGATGTGGAGGAATGCAGAGTTTGTGTGGCGGGGCGCTGGGCTCAGAGCTTAGTGGAGGTTTCCGAAGGATGGCATGTAATGTGTAGCCGCGCTCTAATGTCCGACGGAAGACCAACAAGGGAAGGTCAGCTTATGTGGAGTGACAGGACGGGAGCGACAAGCCGTGGGGATCAGTACAGGTATAATTGTCATTTCGTCACAGCGAAAGAGTCTATGAGGAGAGGGCATCCAAAGAGTCTCAGGTGTTACACAACAAATCTTCCTCCATCAGGGCTGACATGTGATATAAAGTATCGTGATTGTCATTACTATATGGTGTGTGTGTGTGTGTGTATATTACATAGAATGTTCATACTGTATTTTCTACGTCCATTCCATAGGATATATAACACACATGGGGTACATCATGGCCATGCAGTTTAAAAAAGCTTATTGGGTATAAAATCATAAGATCATCAGGGCCAGATTCCCCCACAAGCCCACCGAGGCTCGGCCTCGAGGCGGCAGGGAACGGAGGGGTGGCGGCGGTTTGAAATCTCCCCGACGCCCGGAACATGCAGCTCCAGGCGCCAATTAGTTTTCTACACTTAGCCCCGCTTTGCACAGGGAGAAATGTAGTGTGAGGTAGCAGGGAGAATAAATCCGGCCCTGAAGATTAGAGGTGCACCGAAATGGACATTTTAAAACCGAAAATGTTTTTTTTATTTTAATTTTTTTAAATCTTTATCCTGATCATTGATAACATGAGGACATTGTATGTTTACTATATCCACAACTATGAATGAACAGGAGGTAATGTAGGAGGGGATGTAGATCACTTCCCATTCATTCATAATTGAGGATATAGTTAACATACCATGTCCTCAATTATCTACACTCAGCGATCACATGACTGCTTGTACCCGCTCTCCTCTCTGCCACGTTGTCACAGGAGGCTGAGCGAGCGGAGCAGGGAGGTGAGCTCAGCCTCCTGTGACAGCGCTGGCTGTCTCCGCCCACACACCGCTCTGCCGGACTGTGATAGGCGGCTGAGCGCTGTGGGAGGTGAGCTCAGCCTCCTGTGACAGCGCTGGCTGTCTCCGCCCACACACCGCTCTGCCGGACTGTGATAGGCGGCTGAGCGCTGTGGGAGGTGAGCTCAGCCTCCTGTGACAGCGCTGGCTGTCTCCGCCCACACACCGCTCTGCCGGACTGTGATAGGCGGCTGAGCGCTGTGGGAGGTGAGCTCAGCCTCCTGTGACAGCCTTCATGGATCATGGATGGGCGGGCAGCGACGAGTCCGTGAGGCGGGGAGGAGAAGCGGCGTGCGGCGAGTCTGTATGGCGGGGAGGAGAAGCGGTGAGGCGAGGAGCAGTCTTGTCGTGCGGCGAGGCGGGAAGGAGACGTGTAGTGTGGCTCGGCGGGGAGGAGAAGTAGCGTGCGGGGAGCCGCAAGAAGGCAAGCTAATCTGAATTCAACTAATCGATGAGGGAAAACGTTGACAAAGTTTTCCATCATCGATTATAATCGTTTTAGCCGATTAGTTGTTGCAGCTCTAGATATAAGAACTCCTATACAGAAGTCTTCACTTGTCAGTTGTTATTATAGTTCAGCCCTGATGAAGGAGATTTGTGTGTAACCCCCAAAATGTGTTGATATCGGCGTTTGATATACTTCGATGTGACACACACACACACACATTTTATCCGGCTCGGTGATCTCGTCCTTTCACTGCATATATTCTTAGCAGAAGTCTGTGTCCGGACCCTCTGCCGAGAGCGATGGATTGCGGCAGGTGTGGTGCTGGAAGTGATCGGCGCATCTTTCCAAGAGACAAATCTTCTTCAGAAGGGGAGCCTGGTAGGGTCAGTCTTTGCATTTCCTTCAGCTCAGGTAACCTGTACTGAGGTAAACATGGAGGATGCTATTGCAGACCTCCCTCTGAAAATGTTAGTTTCTTGGCTGTCACTGGCTTCAATACTTCCTGAAGCACTGTCCCTGAGCCAGTGTGGGGCAAACCATGTCACGTGAAGTCAGAGATCCCATCATATAACTTGTTCTGGGTCCGTAATTGACCAATAAAGTAGGGCTGTTACTGATTAAAATTTTCGTGTTCGATTAATCGAAATTCTTTTTAAACGATTAATTATAACGCACATGCAGATCCAACTACGTTGGCCTATACACATACAGCGCAGCAATGAAGTAATAAAATGAACTCGGATGACACTAATCCAGCACGTTATTATTCTGAGTTGCCCCACTCAATATGGCCGCCGCTTAAGTGGGGCAACTCAGATTAATAACGTGCTGGATTAGTGTGATCCGAGTTCATTTTATTACTTCATTGCTGTGCTGTATGTGTATAGGGCAATGCCTTGGCTGGCGCTCGTGAAGAAAGTTTAAAAAAAAATGTAATTGATCAAAAAGATTAACGATTAATCGAGAAATTAATCGTTAATTTGCACAGCCCTACAATAAATGATCAAAACCACAGGACCGTCAGGACAAGCCAGGCATCTGTAGGAGGTGAGGGCCGCAGGTGCTCGGATGGCGGCTGTGAGCATCACCATGAACGGCGTGGGCTTCCTGAAGGTCTCAGATGTGAATCAGAACACCGGAGCCATGGTCAGAGTGTCCGCTATGTATGGGAACGTGGGGGGCTCATGCCCAGGTCACAGTACAACCAATGACATGGCCATACAGGAAGTTGGCATGGCGCTCCATACTGGAAGGTGCAGCAGATGGCTGACGATAGTCGCTGAATGCATTTGCACTTGGTTAAGAAACAGACAAACACAATATATGGACTTTTAGTTTATTTAATTAATATAATGCCGTATACAGGGGAGGGGAGGAGCCTTCTATCACCCCACCCACTACATCTACTTTAGTCTATTCAGTGTGCATGATTGCATGTGGTCATCGGCCTTCACCTCACCTGCATCACCCCTCCCTCGTTGTTTGCTGCTCATCACCGGATGGTGCCAGCCTGACCCATACAGTGTGTCTCTTGCATTCACAGTCAA